GAAACGTGAAATTTTATTTTACGTTGTGATATAACTTCTTTTTCCTTTTAAGATAATTTGTCTCTCTCACTGTCTTTTGTTTCATACAGCGTCAATAAGAGACAATATTTCACAAACTTAATAACATGCATAAATTTAAATAAAACACTTTAACGGTTTAAAACGCGATATGTTTTAGTTAAACTTGTTTGAGAATTATTTTAACTATGGCCCGACGTTTCGGATGCTTTGCTTTCAAACAAGTTTAACTAAAATATATCGCGTTTTAAACCGTCAATGTGTTTTATTTAAATGTGTTCTACTCGCGATAGTATTTAACATGCATACATTTATAAAAAAGTAACTACATAAAGTACTGCTACTAAACAAAAAAATACCTACTCAAATTTATTTTACGAAATTTTTGATTATGTAAAACATCTTTAAAATAAATATTATCACAATCTTAAGCATAAATTAAAAAGCCTCTCGTTACAAAACAAATTCTGTATCCATAATGGTGTATCTGTCGTTCCATCTATCCTTCGTCTGTGATATTTGTTGAATTCCATTAAAATCCCATCGAGATTTCCCAAACAGAATCGGTAGCTTAATCACTTGTTAATTTGTTAAAACTGAGACCAAACGCGCCGCTCGCGACAATTTATTACTTTATTTTCCTCAACTTGTTTATTTTATGCGCCTTTCTTTTGGAACGATTTTATTTTTACTTCTAGTATTAGTATAGTTAGATACATTCATATTAGACTTTATCTAATATGAGGGTATCTATGTTACAATTTCAAAAATGATTTCTGTTCGTATACATACACAAAAAATACATTTAAAAGCTGTGTTTATGCAATTAATATTTTATGAAAGACAAAATAAAAACTATGTAAGCTTTGATTAGAAAGTGGCGAGAACTAGTAAATATGAACGTAAAGTTATATATAGATATTAGCTGCGCCCGCGACTTCATCCGCGTGGAATAGTAACTTTGGGTAGAATTTTTAATTGTTTAGGCTGTTTATTGATTTCTAAAAGGGCGCATTCAAAGCAGCCAATCTGTGTGGTAAGTACTACTTTGCCTCAACATTGCGACTCTCACCTCACGTCACTCTTACTCTAACTCTCACTCCCACTCTTACTCCTACCATCACTGCTATTCCCAAAAACCCAAAAAAGAAAGTTTCATTGTTCTAGCTTTAAAAAATCACGAATATCTATACACACTTTCAACCAAAAGGGTAGTTAACCCTTTTTTGGCAATAAAAAGTAGCCTATGTCCTTTTTCAGGCCCTAGAATATCTATGTACCAATTTCATTTAAATTGGTTCAGTAGTTTCGGCGTTAAACCCGGACAGACAGACAAACAGACATAGTTACTTTTGTATTTATAATATTAGTATAGGTAATGTATAAATTCGATGATGACGTGTATGACAGTAGTTCAATTGGTTAGAGCTACAGCACCGAAAGGTATGGATGCCGGTTCAAATCCTACCCATGTAATTTTTATCAATCTATAATCCATATTTAATTTACATAATGTTCAGTAAAGCACAGAGCGTTTCAGTCATTCAAATTAAATATGACATCGACCGCGCGGCTGTACTTCAGGTCTAGAAGATTTTAATAAGTCCGACAAAGAATTTGTATCAGCTAACGGTAAAGCCCGGAATGCTAATACTCTTACCAAGCAATACTCATTTCTCTAACATAGGTAACTAGTGCGTGGTTTAATTCGATAGACTATCTTTATGTAGCCTGATAATTATTACTGTGTATAATCGATTGCGGGTGATTAATCCGTTGAAGATTGAGATGAGCGCTTCTGTTGTGTTTTATTAAATGTTGTCTGTAGCTATGCCAGTGGTAGATATTTAAATTTTTACTATACGGACGATATTTTCACCGAGAAGAATATGGAAAAATTTCAAGTTTCGAACATTCTATTTTCAAAAAAACGTTAACCAACAATACGAGAAGGTGTACCACTGTGTTTAACCTGTTGTAGATAACATTTTATAAACATACATACAAACAGACTTATCTCTCTTTATCGGGCCTCAATACAATAACGGTAAAGTAATTAACGACACCATCGACTGAAGCGATAACTGAGGCTTCAATAAGATTTCGAGACGAAAACCAGTAATGTATGTAAAACCGGATAGTACTCGTGTCGTACAGCATAATTGATCAGACATGGTGGATAAATTAAGCCTTTTTATGCCCCATCGCAACGAGATCGGAACATGTTTTTGTATTTACTCTCAATGTAATAAAATCTTAATTGAATTCCACGGATATACCTTTGGGTTGTTATGTCATTTGTTTTGATTCGTTTAATGTTTTCATTTAACTAAATAACGAGCTACTGCTGATATCTTAAGCTCATCTCATCTAAATATTCCAATGGGCTCGTTGGTCTTATGGTAGCAATGTGCTGCTCTAGTAATAATGGACGATTCGTTGGTTCGATTCCCATTGGGTCTAACATGTTTCTTATTCATTAATAATTTTTCTGAAACATTTTCGACAGTGTCTGGAATCTAGATATCAAATGTTTCACCACCGCCCACGGATAGGCAGTAAAGTTTTTCACGCTTTGGTTTCGGTTTATTAATTTCCGAATTGCCAAAATAGGGTCCACAGCACATTTTCTTTTGATCATCAAATGAACGCATTAATCTCATAACGTGCTTTTATTAGAGATAGGGTTCATAAGCTTAGACCCACTACGCTGTTATAGTAGTGCCTGGTGAGTTCATGTCTGCCACCACTAAAAAGGGGGACGATGAACTAACGTCCTCATAAATACAGTGGTTACGCCTGCTTTAAATTTTCACAATAGATGGTTTTAAACATCCAGGCTTCGAACCGTAAGAGTTACCATCAGGTTTTACTCCTGCCTGATTAATTAAAACTTTTTTCCTGCTTCTATAGAAGTAAAGATTATCTACCAACTAGCTTATCAAAACTTGTTAAATTTCTGTGAATTACCTACGTGAGTACATGTTTTCTTCGTTAATAAAACTGATAAAATAATAATGCTTGTTTTTCAAATATTTTATTGATTAGTAAATTTTAAGGAAAAAATACTTTAAACTTCGCAACTGTCAAATATCTTTGTATTAATGAGACTGTGTTCATGTCTTAGTAGTCAAAATGCCTTGAGTTAATAAATATTTAGCATGAAACAGTGCAGATAAAACGCTTTCTAGTAAATAAAGTCAAGATTAACTTTTAAAAAATAATTTTAACAATTAAAAGGCGATATATATTATGCATTTTATAGACGTGAGTTTTGCATGCATGAAGATCCAAGTCACCAAGATATTCCGCTATTCAATTAGTTAAAAGTATTTATTTTCAGTGCTGTCTGTATTTAAGCGAGTAGTACACATGTGAATAAACTTTTAACGGTTTAAAATGCGAAATGTAAAAGTTAAACTTAATAACAATTTATTCTTATTAGCTCGACGTTTCGTCACCAGCGGACGTCCCCGAAACGTCGAGTCGTAGTTATTATTTTAATTAGTTAGTAGTTTGTAATTTAGTAAATTTGTAATTGAGACTATTTTTTTTAAATTTTCGTTCATTACAAAAATGTTCATCAGGGAAGATTTGCCAATGTATTTGATGTTTTATGTCATTATGAATATTATAGTCTTAATAGATAAATCAACTTGCCATTTTTACCTGCCTAAAATGGTTACTTTTGCTCGGTTAAAAATAAACAGAGCCCTGTCAAGTTTAGGTTCAGGTCCCCGCCTACCGAATTGCCCCCGTAGCTCGGATGCCTTAGCCCTGTTATTTAGTACAATTATTGCGTCAAGCCGGTATTCCTCTGTAAAAAGGCGATAGAATTCACCAAGATTAAAAATGTGACGGGTTGATTGTGGAACATTTGCTTCGATCCTTATGTAACTTTTTTGTTACCATTATTCGGATATACGTAAACGATTTATAAAGGTTTGTGTAAAACCAACATATCCCTCACTTTCAGTAAAAAAATAACAGTAATTAAATAGTTGATAAGAATTCTGTGCCCTATCCGACCGAAACCGTATATATAGATTTAAACTCAAAATTTGTCCATCTTAAGTCATTTCGTTTAACTATGCTATCGAGGTTGTCAAAAATGAAAGTTTGGTTTGCGAAAAAAAAAATTGTTTCTCAGTTATATTTTATTATTATATTCATGATATTTGAACCACATATTTAAATGGATCAGTTATTTTAGAAGTGAATATAAATTACTTTTTAAATAAGCTTGTACATCCCGTAAATACAAGGTATAAGGTAATAAGGTAAAATTATTATTGTTATCAATTATTAATATATCAAATCTTACGAATTGTTATTAAATAAACAAACAGCAGGTTGAACATGAAATTACCCGTATCTTTTACATCGAGGTGCGATACCGTGACGTCACGGTTCGGTATACCACGTGTTTACTGACGTCACTGGAGCGTGTCCCCAATACTTGTTTGACTAACAGCAGGTACACTATAAACAGGTGTATATAAAGCTTTTTGAAAGTAATAATTATGTTGTATAAAGATGTTAATTTAGTTTGAATTCTACGGAAATTTAATTATTGATTCATGTGTCCTCCACATTCAAAATTATTGGATAATTATTATAGTATTACTTGTAACTTGGTATTAAATGCGCTACAGATAAAAGACGAAATCATTAGGCATCTTTATGGCTTTTTTGAGATGGTGAAAGAAAAAAATAATTACTCCGTCCTCTAGTAGGTATCCAAAGAGAAAATAGGTCGACAACAAATCATTTTTAGATGTTTATATGGCTGGGGTATTTTACCCATCAAGTGAACTTCGATATAAAATCTGTTTTTTTATCACAACTGTAGATAAATATATCTTACTCTGTAAATATTCAATAACGAAGTTGACCTCTTTTAATTAAAAACAAACATGTCATATTAATATTAACATCAAGATCAACCCCAACACGTTAAGTAAATTGAACTAACAAGTGTAATGTTACGCCACTTGCGTGCAATATGGACCGTGACGTCACGGTCTAGTATACCACGTGCCTTATGGGGGGTGAGTGGCAGACCATAACCGAGGGTAAACATTATGACACTTTGGTTTAATGTAATTAATTAAATAACGTGAACAGTGAACACTCAGAAAGATCCTAATTAGTCTATTAAAGACTAGCTGTGTCATCGACTTCGTCCGCGTAGAAGAGTTATTTTGGACATCAAAATCTGTTTTCGCAAACCTCTTCATAGATTTAAGCTGTTGTTTTAGCCACGTTGTTCTTGCAAGTTAATCTTAAAAGATAGACATAATAATTATAGTGTCGGGGATTTTTTTTTAGATCTTTCAAAAAACAATTTTCCACTTTTATTCCCCTTCCTACACTAACTACGTAAATAACTAGTTTATTAGTCTACTAATGAGATTAAATAATGCCATCTAATTTTATGTCAAAAACTCAATACCGAGTTGAAATAAGAGCAGATCACTTAAGTGGTTTCCGGGTTGATATTTGCAAACCACTATTTGGTACACTCGCAACACGAAGGCTGTCAATTGGTACACAATCAACCGGTGGGTCGTATATAAAATGAGATGCAATTTCGATCATGACTGTACGACTTCGGACCGCAGACGCCTTCAAGACTTTTGTGGTGTGAGGCATGAGAGAACAGTTTTACGATACTTGAAAATTAATATACTGTAACGCTTTCGGATAAGTTAAGTATTATTTTAATCGAGTACTATTTTAAGCTCTTCAAACCTCTGAAGTCAATACAGATTTATATTTTCTAAGTTTCTTTATAAGTCACCTCCCGTCCAAACGTCGCGTAAAAAATAATTTGTAATAAGTTAATAATACCCGCTTTTAAATATGGAAAAGTGTTTCATTTAGATCCACTCGGATTAGTAATACGAATAGTACAGATTTAAATTTTACTACGTACGAGCAGTACTTAAATGAAAAGTATTTTTCAATTAAAAGTTTAAAACAATGTTATATTTAATTCAAACATTTTAATCAAATTTACCATTCAATTGATTGATGGCCATTCTTTCTTTACCATGAAGTTTATAAATAACTTACTTCAAGAGCCGGACTTTTTTAAAGAACGCTATCGCTTGTAACTTGGACCACATCGTATACACACAGAACGTAGCGCGTAATGTCGTATTATTATTGCGTACCTGCGGCCTTCACGACTCGCTTGAATTACTCTCTTGTTGGGCACGTGCTCTATCCGTAGACAAATTGAGTGTTTTCTACACGACGTGGGGAATTTTGTGCTTTCAAAGTAGCTGATTGTAGCGGAGTCGGTAGTTGCGTTTCTGTATTCATTGTCTTTTATTTTATCACTAATGATTCACTGTGTTTAGTTATAAAATCTATTATATAATATAAATATAGTTAGTACGTAGTGATAAAAGTATTTATACTTTCTGTACTTCTCGAACCTACCTCTTGCATCCACGCATTAGTAGTTTCAAGGTTATAATTCAGCAGTACAAGTCTTTCCATTTGTAGCAATAACAGTCTAGATTGCCTCTTATTACAACGATAAAATAAAAATAAACTTTTCAGTTTTGTAGACTATAAATTTTTCTCGTATGATTTATCGTGGCGAATTCCATCAAAATTAAACTCAATAGAAGTAACGAGTGCTCATTCGACGTTCCTAAAAATATGCGCGTGCGCAGAGCAATTTGGTGGAAGTGCGGCAAATAACCGCCGCTGGCCGCAATCATACGGCCACCGTTTTCATTGTCACGTGAAAATTACACCGCGATATTGCCGGACTTTCATATTTACTAGAGATTATATAGTACTAGAATAGACAAGATCAAACTGCACTTTGCGGTCCTACGTAACAGTGTCTTTATTTTGTTTTTGTTGAATCATAATCCTAAAGATGCAGATAACAAGTGTTGTTGATTTGATGGCGTGAAACATCCGTTAAGGAGGGCACTGGTGTCGGGTCATTATAAATAAAACCGATTTGTAAAAAAGATAAAAAACTGACAGGTATGTTAGTCTCATTCCTCATCTAAGGGAAACTGAATGGTCATTAACATAGTTTACATGTTCATAATATACATTTCTCATTTATAAATGTTTATTTAAAATTACAAAAAAACATTTAAATTTTGTTTGCTTAGATAATAACGCGTTCAAAGTCGAATCCCTCAAGAACGTTAATCCATTCAATATATTATTCCTCTATTATCTGTTAATCAGTCGTTGACTTAAACACACGAGCAAAAAAAATCCAAATTTTTCCACTACAATAGTCAATTTCAATTATTAATATCAGGAATGTTTTTTTTGAATTTTGTCGGTAAGATCTGAAGAAATACGACATATGTCATATAAGATGAGGAACTATAATGCTTTACTGTTGGTCAAACAAAATTTTAACATTTAAATAAAACACTTTAATGGTATAAAACGCGATATATATATTAGTTAAACTTACTTGATTATTTTAACTACAGCCCGATGTTTCGGATGCTTTGTAGCAGCCGTGGTCACAGGTCTCCCCGTTAAAATGTGTTATTTAAATGTGTAGTACTCGCGTAAACTTCACAAAGTATTTAATATCGTGACGTATTACAATGGAAACACGCTTCGTCCGCTGTATGCGAAGATGTTTGTAATGTATGCCCGGGGCGCGGACGTTCATTTGAGCTTCTGTTTAAGAACGCGACCATTAAATCATTCATGTTTTCTTTTAGGGCTTAGTTTCAATGGACGCTGGTTCTTTCTATAATGGCTTAGTTGTATATATTTATCATTTAACTTGTTATACTAAAAGTTACAATATTTTCTTATATACAAAGTTATAGTTCCGTTTATATAACATGCGTATGAATGAACTTGAATTAGGGTTTAGTTTCGTTCAAATGAGAAATGGTAAATCTCGTTTCCACTGTACTAGGGTATATTTCACTGACGGCTTTAACAAATAAGTCGAACAGACTCCTGTGAATGGCCTTAACTCTTACTAAACCTCACCCTTAAACCCCCAAAAATTTTTAAAAAATTTTTTAAAAAATTTTTTCCCCCCCCCCCCCCCCCCCTTCCTCCCCCCCCCCCCCCCCCCCCCCCCAAAAAAAAAAAAAGAGGCCCCCCCCCCCCCCCCAAAAAAAAAAACCCCCCCCCCCCCCCCCCCCCCCCCCCCCTTTTTGGTTTTTTGCCCACCCCCCCCCCCCCCCCCCCAAAAAAAAACCCCCTTTCCTCCCCCCTTCTTTTTTTTTTTTTTTATCCTAAAAAAAAAAAAAAAACCCCCCCCCGCTTTTTGTATTTTCCCCCCCCCCCCCCCCCCCCCCCCCTTTTTTTTTTTTTTTTTTCCCCCCCCCCCCCCCCCAAAAAAAAAAAACCCCCCCCCCCCCTGATTTGGTTTGGTTAAAGAAAAAAAAAGGAAGGGGGCCCCCCCCCCCGGGGGGGGACCCCCCCCCCCGAAAAAAAGGAGAAAATTTTTTTTCCCCCCCCCCCCCCCCTCCCCCCTTTTTTTTTTTCCCCCCCCCCCCCCCCCCCCCCCCTTGGCCCCCCCCCCCCCCCCCCCCCCCCCCCCCCCCCCCCCCCCCCCAAAGAAAACCCCCCCCCCCCCCCTTTTTTCTTTTTTTTCTCCCCCCCTTTTTCCCCCCCCCCCCCCCCCCCCCCCCAACCCCCCCCCCCCGCCGCCCCCCCATTTTTTATAATTAAAAAAAAAAAAAAGGGGGGGGGGGGGGGGGGGGGGAAACCCCTCCCCCCCCCCCCCCCCCCCCCCCCCCCCCCCCCCCCCCCCCCCCCCTTTTTTTTTTTTATACCCCCCCCCCCCCCTCCCCCCCCCCCCCCCCCCCTCCCCCCCCCCCCTCCCCCCCCCCCCCCCCCCCCCCCCCCCCCCCCGGGGGGGGGGGGGGGTGGGGGGGGGGGCGGGGGGCCCCCCCCCCCCCCCCCCCCCCCCCCCCCCCCCCCCCCCCCCCCCCCCCCCCCCCCCCCCCCCCCCCCCCCCCCCCCCCCCCCCCCCCCCCCCCCCCCCCCCCCCCCCCCCCCCCCCCCCCCCCCCCCCCCCCCCCCCCCCCCCCCCCCCCCCCCCCCCCCCCCCCCCCCCCCCCCCCCCCCCCCCCCCCCCGGTCTTAACTATCTCAAATATCTAATAATTTATTTTTATTTATTTATTAAAAACCAATCACACATCCTTACATAATAATAATTCCAACATGAGAGTGGGTTCAGTAAAATTTTTAAAATACAATGTATGAGATATCATACCTTATTTTAAGACATCGCTCACCGTACAACTAAAAAGTGTCTATTTGACAATTCACATTGCCAGTAATGTGCAATTAATATGATGTGTAAACATTATGATAAAACCAAAAATATCAAGAATAACTTCTGTTGAGTTAACTTATTTTTCTCTGATGTCTCTTGGTTTATTAATACTTTTCAGTTCAAATCCTGTATCTGTGAAAGCCGACGTCAATTAAATTTGATTGAGACAGTTTAGAAGATCGATTAAGCATCGATTCTGAATCGAGTGTAAAAACGATTCATCAATTCGAAATGCTGCTTCCAACTACTTCTAATCAATGAAAGATTTAGGCTGTGAAATCGCCAATAAAATTATGGTAATGTGAAAAAAATTGATATTTATAATCTATAAAGAGTCTCAAAACAAGTATAAAAAAACCTCTTTGATGTCCGCAGAGCATAAATTTCTGGTCATCTGTGGTCTCAGCGGGGTGCTACATTAAACGGAATTTACATTTTTATTAGCTTTTAACATATTTGAGAGCTATAATGATTAGCTCTGTGTAATCTAAATTGTAATGTTAAGAAAATCATTTTAAAATGAAATAAAAAAAATATATTTTATTGCGATAAAATATATTGGCTTAAATTTATCCATTCTTTTAGAACTAAGTTCTGTACTTAACTATCATAAAATTGATGATTACTTAAAGTTAAAACATATACAAAGTAGTGTACATATCTAGACCATAAATCATTTGTTAATTCCTATAAAACCTTAAAAAGGAAAATAAGTTTTCTTCTAAGTATGATTATAGTGCACTTAATACCCTGCTATTTCCCGTAATAGCGTGCTATTTTAAATTAAACGGATATGCTAATATTAATTATCTGCTAAATTAGGTATTAATCTACACCATAATCTCGGATAATATAAATCTACTGATACGATGTTTATTTTATATGCTGTTTTAATGAACGCGATTAAGATTCAATATTAAAATCATAAACGGCAAATTAGATTTTCATTTTGATAGTACTTTACACACTTAAACAAAACAAGTTTAATTAAAGTCTATTTATGCTTTATAAGTTTATGTTTATTAAGTATTTTTACTGACTTCAAAAAAAAACGCTAAAAAATAGGTAGGTTTTTTTTTATTTTATTTAATTTAAAAAAAACCTTTGAATATCAACAGTCTTAATTAGTTGTTACATGGCTGTGGTATTTTTTCCATCAAATGAACCATAATTATGCTAGTCTGTCCTTTTATGTCACAAAATAACCACAGTTTTCTTGTTTCAGGTACGACACAGGTTCGGTTTGTACGATGAAGTCTGCACGTCGGGGGGTGTTCAAGTTCGGCATTGCAACTGGGTACGCTTTTTACGGGTCTCGGAAAATTATGGGCCACAGGTATGCTCCTTTTTATTAGAAAACGAAAGATGTTTACGACCTACTGCGTTATTTCGAATTTTAAACCGTTTTTTGTTAACTAACTAAACAAGAGAACAGTGAAACATATCATCTTCATTTCATCACGCTTTTAAAATTTTCCACTTGTCATTTTTCTGTTGAAGAATTAAAATAAAAGAGAAACAAAAACAAAATTATTAAAAATCTGTATTTTAATTCATGTGTACAAAAAAAATAGTTTTAACGGCTTAAAACGCGAGAAGACCCGTCATTGCCGCGGATTATGTGGCGATTCTAGATCGCGGCTGCTGTACCAATAAAACATACAAAACGTCGAATCGTAATTAAAAATAAGTTAACTAATAAATTTCGCTGTTTAAACTGTTAAAACTGTTTTATTGAAACAATATTAAATAAGAATTACAACTTAAGCACAATATCTGTTAGACAACATATTTCAAACATTTCTGTTATTAAATTGTGCGGTCATATATCTATTTGACAGCTAGCAAAAATATGGCTCCCGCGCTATATCTATTCTCTCCCTGTTCTCAGGTAAATCTTGTGTGCACGAAGGTCAAAGGTGAACCAGTGTACGAGGCTGTGAAGCCTGTATCGCCACATACTGAGCTGGTGGTGTACTACCTGCCCGAGAGACCGGAAGAGCTGTTCTTTGTAAGGATGAGGAATAACTTGTATAGACAGACTATGGATTCGATTTTAGAAGGTAAGTTTTAAATACTGTCTATAGTTTACGCGAGTAGTACACATTTAAATAAAACACTAACGGCTTAAAATGCGATATATTGGTTAAACTTCTCGCGTCATATTAGTAAAGCCGTCTCCCCGTGACCACGGCTGCTGCAAAGCATTCGAAACGTCGGGCCGAAGTTAAAAATCATTTTCAAATAAATTTAACTAATATATCGCGTTTTAAACCGTTAAAGTGTTTTATTTAATGGTAAGTTTTACTTTAGGATCAAAATATGTTTGTCACGTCAGTCCAGTAGTAGCAATCTATGGCATCCAGCGCATCGTGGGTTTGCTTCCCATTAGATTTAGTATATTTGGCAATTATTTTAAAGTTATTATACACATGTAAGATCTAACTGAGAGATTGGTGGGAGTATTGAAATAGCGTCCGGAAATAAAATCCTTGATCCTCTTTTTTTCTGGATAGCCGAATATCCGAAGGTGTTATCAAAATTGTATCGCAGCAGTAACGTTCGTTATTAGGGTTAGAATGGAGTGTATTGTTTTTTACCTTGTGAAATGTAGTCTAATCTTTCGCATAAGAAATATAACTCGAATTTATACACTTCAAAAGTATTTAAGATGTAGGTACATATTATAGATAGTCTGATTCGACCTGATTGAAGCCAAATATCGCAGTCCAATTTATAACGCTCACTTAATTAACGCGCATCAATTTTTGAAATTAATCGGTAAACAGTTGTAATTAATGATGTCCATAATTCATGTACCGTCTCTATTAGAATTTGATCAGTCATAAATCAAACTTTTACTATTGAAGTGCATAATATAAAAGCTTTTTCACATGAACACATGTAAAAGATTAGTAAACTAGTATACATTTAAATAAAACACTTTAACGGTTTAAAACGCGATATATATTCGTTAAACTTATTTGTAAATTATTTTAACTACGCCCTGACGTTTCGGATGCTGCAAGACATCTGAAACGTCGGGCTGTAATTCGATTAAGATTAACGAATATATATCGCGTTTTAAACTGTTAAAGTGTTTTATTTAAATGTTACAATGTTTTAAATTTTCCACGCCGAGCTTCTATAGATAACATAATTAAAGACGTATCTCAAAACAGTAGCACGGTACGCATTTGATAGCCGGTTTGAGTCATTAATTTTATTTCTTTGTCTCATTTTTTTTCAAGGGATATCGTCCTCAATAATATAGCTAATGCTAACGAATATACAAGATTATATAAAATATAAAAAGGAATCAAACCTCCACGTAGCTACAAATCACCTAGTGCTTTGACTGTACCAAATTTAGTACTAGAAAATTTGTTTTGCGTATGATTGTAATTCGGATCGTGTGGAACTGCCTTTATCTTATGAGTAACTTCTATATTAACAGGTGCTTATTATTTTAGAATGTAGAGAAAGTAGACCACATAAACCGTTTACGATCGACATAGTAATTGTATGTTATCGACGATGCGTGAAAATGGTGGAAATTGCTACCCTATTATATTGGGTCATTTGAATTAAATTCTAACCGTCTTATTTATAAGGTCACTTTAGCTGTTAAGTTATGTTACAGTTACTGCTGTAGGTACTTCTATACCATATAATTTCCACCATTCAAGGCGCTAGCGAAGTAATTTTTTACTTTGATGTTTTAATTATATAACGATAAAAACGATTCTCTTGAGTTATCTTAAAAGACTGTCTTGTTTTTTTTTATTATGCAAATAATTCTTTCAGACACTTTTTTGATATCTTGAACCGTTTTCGCAGTGTACGCAGCTGAAACTCTCAGTGATTTGCCCCGTTTTTTCCACATTTCCTTCTGTTTCTTTTTATTGGTCACAGCATGCCGTTTCCGATAAATAATCTAACCAAGACAATAAATTTGAACTAGTAGTTCCTGAAATCAACGCTTCAAAACAAATGATCTCTTCAGTTTTATAAGTTCAGTATAAAATATAAATGTCACTGTGTCGAACCTTATAATTCTGCTCAAACGATAAATATTTACAAAATTACACCGATGAATCCACATTCCATCACTAAATTAAAACGACATAACGATTTTATGAATCGTAACATAACGCCTCTTTGCATAATTCAACCTGTTTATTAAACGCCTACAAATTACGTTTACCTAACTGTCAATTAATATCAATAAACCTTCACATTTAAGTTACAAAATTCCTAAGGAATACTTATTACTTGTGTCGTGGATGGCGGCGAATCAAAGGGATACTAAGTGGATGTTTTCACACGATAGAGACTGCACACTATATGCGACAGATAGCGGGAGAAGATCTGTACTTGGACTGTGAACGGCTTTAATCGCGATATTAACGTGAAAGACGGGATGAATCGTATATATTCAATCGTACTTATTTTTATTAACACCCATCCTATAAAATTCCAATTTCTCATCAGAAAAACCGGTGAAACATCTCCACATTAAGTTTCTCTTATGCTAGAGGCAGATATATCTTTGCGTCTGCAAGTTTTATTTACAATCACAATTCCATTAGCTTTATTTACAAGCGAACAATTAAATATGTTTCGGCACTATGAACTCAAAATGACTAGAATGGAAACCAAAGAGCCACAGAGATTAACTTTTTAACGGTTTAAAATGCGAAATGTATTAACTTACTTTTTATTAATATAAACTAGGGCCCGACTTTTCGGATACTTTATATATAATTCTAATTATACTTAAAGCTTATATATTGCACGTTTTGAACGGTTAAAAGTGTTTTATATAAATGTATACTGCATTTGTAAACTACTAACAATACATATTTATCAAGTGATATATTATAAAAGGGTGAACTAAGTAAAACAGCTGTTCATATAAGCTACATAGCGAGGCATGTCAAGACATGGGATGGCGGTGTTACAAAGCGAATGTTCGACAGCTTTGGCCGGTAGTGCTGGAGCTGTCGAACATTCCGGCGTGATTGCTTTTTTATCTCCCAACAGCCGATCGGTGACATGAAGTGCGTAATAGCGTATTATATCGAGCGTATTAATTGTTGTTCTTTTTTATTCACAGAAAAGGTATTTAGTCCCAGTTACGACTAAAAGATGCATTGTCGAATTATATTGGACGTTCGTTAATCCACACATTGTAACCGAAACACGATTAAACTAACGTTTTTATTTGTGAACCGGCAGGAATTCCGATATTCCTACCACCCATTGAATACAAGATTTCCAGACGAAGTCTAACATGTCTCAGAAAAATAATAAATTGCATTTAAAAATGTTGGACCCGGCGGAGATCGAAGCCACGGCCCTTTGATTATTAGCCATACATTGTTACTATTATAGCAACGAACTTGTCATAAACTGCCGTTACTAAATACTGTCTATAGTTTACGCGAGTAGTACACATTTAAATAAAACACTTTAAAATTTAAAAACTATTTGAAAATTATTTTTAACTTCGGCCCGACGTTTCGGATGCTTTGCAGCAGCCGTGTCTCCCAGTGACCACGGCTCAAAATCATTATCAAATAAGTTTAACTAATATATCACGTTTTAAACCGCTAAAGTGTTTTATGTAAACTTCCGTTACTTCTTATTCACTTATGTCTATATCTAAATAATATTAAAGAGCTAAGAATTAAACATTCAAAACTGACAGACTTAACTATTTAAAACGCGATATATATTAGGTAAACTTAGTTGGAAATTAATTTAACTACGGCCCGACGTAAAAAAAAGCAAAGTAATACACACGACTACACAGTATAAATTCATTTTAATTGAATAATCAGATAAATGCACTAGATTCCTCAAAGAGTTATGAATAAAAGCAATCGGATATAACTAAGGTTATATTGGAGTCGATAACGAATGCGGCGTCTTTTGCCTGCGCAAACGCAGATCCGATCGAGCGCTTTATATCGATGATTCGAATTGCAGCTGTCGACGGAAGCACTATATCTATATAAAAACATCACGAAAATTTAAGCTTATCTCACGGAAAGAAACGGAACGAAAGGTAAATGGCGCTGGAGTTGATTGCACTTTAAATTTTGTATAGGGCATATTTTTTTAAGAAATGCAAATACATATAGATAGAGATCAAACTTTACAAGGAAAAACTAAGATTTTGCACAGTTAAAAATTAATTTAATTCCCACTTAAATTATATTGTCCTGCTTATTTTTTTCTGTGGCTTAAAGTAATATATTGTTTTAGATACTTCGCTATTATATGATTTTTTTTAAATTATGACTGTATAGTACCGTTTTAAGCCGTCAAAAGTGTTTTATTTGTACGTGTAAACTACAGACAATACAAAACATACTCAGTTTATTTATATAAAGGAGCAACTTAAAAAATCTCGTTTGTAACTAGCCTAAGATGAAAATAAATGACGCATTTACAACTGTTAATTTCCACTTATGTGGTATTTTCGTGATCAGTATTGAGATTTTATCGACAAGTTTTCAACAAATCAGTAGAAGGAACACTTTATTACAAAACCTATTTATGCCCAAATGGATGCTAATTAAATTGTTAGACGTATTGAGATACAATCAATATTCAGATTATCGGAGACACAATTGTTCAATAATAATAATGCTTTTTAATGATAGGTAAAATAGTTTTTATTTTTTAAACACAATAGCTTTTTGATAGGCTTAAAAATGTATTTTTAATATTTTCGCGATCTCATAATCAGCAAACCTAGCTTTAAATTGCTCTTACATTTAAGATTAAACTATATTTATTAACTACGAATTTAAAAAAAACATATGCTTAGTTGATGACCGCTTCTCAGCGTCGTAGTGGATTTGATACCCACCAATGCACCCTTATTAAAAAAATAATGATTTTTTCAGTATTTAAGCATGATTTTGGTAACATTTAGAAATTGTAATGTCTAGATACTAATATAAAATACCAAACGACGATCTTAAGATTTATAGCTACTAGAACATAGGAAGTGAAGAGTTATTACTAACATAGATCGTCTTAACCGACAAGTGGTACACAAGCATAATTAAGACAAGTTTTATTGAGTTAAACCGATTGCATTAAACATAAATTGTCTAGAGTTCAATACCAACATATTTACGGTTGTCAATTAAGTTGACCATTAATTTTTTCGTCTTGATTGGAGTTGAGTTTTAATAGGATTATGATCTACGTTGTAAAGTACGCCCACTGGCCCACAGAGTTAACACGTTTATGGGAACCGCTCTTTTTGTGATAGAATAGGCCAGACAAATATGGGATTTGCTTGATGGAAGGGGAACTACCTTAGCCATAACAAACGATACAAGGCGCAAACCTACTTTGGGTTTGGATATTCGGAAATCTTTACGCTAAAACGTAAATGTACTTTTCAATAGTCTTCAGACAGTGAATCGTAAGTTGGATGGAATTTCAAGATAACAAACATTTATTATAAACTATAAGAAATATATCTTTATAAAGAAAGATTTTTATAGAGGTATAGTTTCTACAAAAAGTGATTCAGATTACAATTTGGGGTAACTTCAAATTCGCGAAACTACAAAATTGGCATCGATATAAACTAAAGATGATTTTTATCTATGAAAATATATAATTACTTTTTACTACGGGAGCTAATTCATATATTCTCTTGTTTTTGAATTTAAGAAATTATAAAAATATGTCTTGGTTAGTTAATTGAACCGTAATCAAAGAGGTTTTCTTCCCATAAACTTTTTTATTTCTATATGAATTTTATATGTTGCTAACTACAATTTCTTTTTCAACAGATTCACCATTAGATCTTTCAACGTCACTTCTATCAAGGGTCTTGTTACCCATTTCCCCACCATCTGGACCTGAAGATGAACACAAGTCGGTCTCCGGCGATTCCCTCACATCATCATCGGCGGGGTCATCAAACGAATTACTAGACATGACACCAAAAATCCAAAGAAGGCCAGCGAAATCCGAAAGAGCTTTATTACCGTGCGAAGTTTGTGGGAAGGCGTTTGATAGGCCGTCGTTGCTTAAAAGGCATATGCGAACACATACGGGTACGATTTTGAATTTAGAATGATAAATAAATTAAGTTAATTTATCGGACGAAATAATTTAGATAATTTGCCTCCACATAATATTGGGCAGTAGTTTAAAACAAATTATTAATTAATATTATTCAATATTATACAAATTACGATAAATAAATGAATTAATGATAAGAGATAGTTAATTTTAAAACATATCAGTGCTCAAATAGATGCCATTGTGTTTTTAACCATACGAAATGTCTTGAACATTCATAGACATCAAAACCATGATTTAAATCAACAAATACTGGTTTTTTACGTACAATGTACGCTTTGGTTTAATAGTTTGGTTCATTGTACGTTTATCGAATAAGAATAAGAAAATATAAAGTTATGTTTTCTTTTAGGTGAAAAGCCTCACGTATGTATGGTTTGCAATAAAGGCTTCAGCACATCCAGTAGTCTCAACACACATCGGCGGATACACTCCGGGGAGAAACCGCACCAGTGTCAACATTGTGGAAAGAGGTTTACTGCCAGTTCCAATCTGTATTATCACAGAATGACACACATAAAGGTAAGTTCACACACTAATATAGGATAGGTAAAATAAAAGTTTGGGATATATTTTTATTATCTTATTATACTGGTGGTAAATGGATGGTGATATAATATGACATCAAAGCAAGATGTATTGTCGATATTTTTTTTGTGACTTTGGATATTCGGAAATCCAAAGACACGAATCGCTACACAAATAAACTAGACGCACTAGAAACCTTACAACGACAATCAAAGCCTACAGGAAAGTCGAGTCCCAGCTGTAGTATCTAGAGAATAATAATTTCTAATATATTATACCATCAGAATATTTGCCGCAGTTGGAAGTAACAAAGCATACTATAAGCTCTGAAAATCAGTATAAAACAAGTCAGTGTAGCTTTGTTGCTTACTTAGCTAAGGGTTCAACCTTCTTAGATAAATCAAATTTGCTTTGTTTTTCGCTATAATTATCGTTACATAATAATCTTGTTACAATAAGGGCGGCACCTCGGTAGCTCTAACAGTATTACCTTATCACGGAAATATAGACAGTAATTCTATAACATTTCATAAAAACAAGTTATCCTTGTTGAAAACAATGGTCCGCCATTACAGTTTTTCTGCTGATAATTCACATGCTATCGCATCCTTTTGCGTTATTGTTAATTATATTTTTTTTTCGCAATCTGCATTGTTAAATCCGTAATAGTGATGCATAAGTGTTGGTATGAATGTTTGAACAATAAATATTGAAGCGTTATTTATGTTAAGTGGTGTATTGTTTGATACTGTTAAAGTAATTAACAACACGGAACTCCTTGCGACAGATTGCGCAAGTTGTGTCGATTGCACTATTAATTTGTGAATTTTCAATATCTTATATTATCAGGCACTGGGAGTGACTAGGTTCATATTCCGAAAAACATCATATTTTACACGATGAAAAGAGATGTTTGACAATTTTTCTCAGGATTCGTAGTCGTTCATAATTTATTTTCATTATTGTGGTAACTTTGATATAAAGAACAACCTTCACCGAATTTCCCCCGGGCTGCTGCAAAGCATCCGATTTGTCGGACTGTAGTTATAACAAATCAAAAATAAATTAACTAATATAATATTTCACGTTTTAAAAGTGTTAAAAGTGCTGTATTTAAATGTGTATTGTTCTCGTAGACTATAGATAGTCTTAGAATTTTATACCCTTCTTTGCAGAGTTATCTGCTTTATTTTCTATCTGTGCTGTTACTCTACCACTGACTCGCTGAACGCTGACGATGCCGGTTCAAGTCCTGCCCGAGTCGAAAATTTATTCAATTTATTTTCGATTTTTAAATTATATAGTGCCTTCATGTGCAATAACATGTAAAAATTTTAATGTTTTCAAACGTTAATAGTTACTTATTAAAAGTAGATATTATTTTATCGTTATATTTATTAATTCAAATTCAAATTCAAATTTCATTAAACGTTAATCATTTTAATTGTTAATTACTCAGTAGCCCAAAACAATAAAACAGTCTTAAACCCAGCTCATAACTAATTGGAAATTCGCGTCAAATGAAAATTTAAATTAGGTTCTCAGAGTCTTTGTTTGTAATAATCTGTGGCGATGATTCCATTAATTATAACAAAATATAAAGTGCTATATTACAGGTGATGTTACCGTGCTCACTTCCCATAACGCCCCTTGAGTTTTTACTTATTTAACTATGACCTCATGTGTCCACGACTTAAGAAAATCAGGCGTCACGCTGAATGGTCATAGGGGTGCGAGAAATAAGTTTTTTAAATCGTACCAAGTAGATTTTCATTTGACTCCGTTTACGGTCTACTGTCTCTGTTTACAAACAAAGGGGTTTAATTTAATAGTGCATTAAGTTATTTTAACAAATTAATGAGTAAGAGTTAATTAAGATAAGAGTAACTTCTGTTTCACTTATCGTAATAGAATTATTTAACAAACGCCATTTATGAATTGAATGTAGCTTATGCAAGTTTTAAATATTAAAATGAAACTATTTAACGGTTTAAAACTAAATCTTCCCCGTGACCAAGGCTGCTGCAAAGTGAAACGTCGAGCCGTTGTTAATATTGAATTATATATAAGATAAATTATATTTTTCACGTTTTAATTACATACACCATAGAAGGTAAACAATGTAAAATTGTGTTTTAATTTCCTTATCTTCTATGTTAACCAACACGTGGTACATAATATATATTATTATTATTTTATATTATAAGTTATACTTTTAGAAATTATATTCGATTAAAAGTAATGTTGCTCAAAGCAGTTTAAAGTTACCAAAGGACACGTACATATAATCAAATTAATACATATCGTTTGTGTATTGTATATATAAGTGATTTTGTTATATTTTATAATAAAAAAAAGACACCTTATTTATCTTTGGACGTCTAGTAAAGACAAGTAGATATATTCTTATTAAATAAACATTAGAACTCAGTAAATAAACACGAACGAAAATTTAAAATTTTCTAAGTGGGGCAGCCCTGTTTTCTTAAGACGCACCTGTGAGGTAAGGGCCAATAAATTACCAGGTCAGGTCATCGTGGGAAGTTCAGTGAGCAAGCACTGTGACGATTGTGGACTATTGAACAATTCAGTCCTTCCATTTGCATATTGTGTTCTGATTCAATACGTGAACACTAATGACATGATTGAGATAAATTTATTAGAATGATTGTTTATTTATTTGTCTGAGTACACCTTTATATAATAATGTTTAATTATTAATGCAGTAAAACAATAGAGACTTACTAACATTTTATAGAACAGATACAGTTTAATAGTTAATAAAATAACATAAATTATTCTTTTGTTATACTCATATATTTTATATATAACATATAACATAATAACACCAGCTTTAATATTTTTCACATGTGCACACGATGGTTCTATATAATTAAAAATTGATTATGAATTGATAGAAATTACGACTCAGACAAGACTTGAATCGGCATCCACAGCTTGTAAGACTCGGTAGCTCAATTGGTTAGAGCAACAGCACGAAATACTGTGGACGCCGGTTCAAGTCCAGCCCGAGTCGTAATTTTTTTCTATTTATAAACGATTTTAGTTTATAATAAAGTTAACAAGGCAAAATATATTGTTTTATGCAATATGAAGAAATCAGCTTAGCAACGAGTAGTAATTTAAAAGATTTAAAGTAAAAAAAATTATAGAACGCAACTCGTTTCATTTCTATTCGTTCTAGATTGTTAAAATTTAAATTTTTTACTTTAAAATCAAACTGCGTCAATGTTGACGAAACAATAATTTCTTGATACAGTTCCGAACAGCCGAAACCATATTCCCACGAAAGCTAGGAACCGTATCGTACAAGACGATACTGAAGACGTCGCGCTCAACGAACTGTAACTTCACACGGTCTACGTGTGTGAACTAAAGATGACCACACTACTGTAGTTATGTAAGGGTCACCTACGAATGTTTTTAAAATCTGCCTTTTAATGTAATTTATCTTAGTAAATATGTTTTTAGAAAATCTTCTAACAACTGCTTGTGTCAACCCATATCAACCATATAATAATCTATATATAAGTTTAAAGAGTTTTTTATTTGTTTGTACGCGCTAATCGCAGGTTCGAATTGAACAATTATTATTTTTGTATTGATTGGGTATAGACACAACAGAGAGAAATGTAAAGATAAGATGGGAAAAATGACTAATCTTTGATGGTTACAGTCGCGTGCGCTGCAAAAAACGGTTCATGCTACGTAATATTTAAAAAATAATGATTTCTCTTTAAACTGTCTAAAAATATGTGCGCACGAGTATTTTATCTATCTTTTAATTTTAACTGAAATACTTCTAGCAAAAAAACGTTTTCCAGGTCAGCTAGTAAAAAATCTATATCTATAATTACTGAAATTTTATCTCACATGGAAGAAAGTAATTCATAAAAGGCAAAAATAATTGGATATGTTATTAAAAACAGGAGGACATATAGTTTCTGTTTGTGTTTCGTTCGTATAGCCCAGTTATATATATGTAAGATGGTTCCTATGACATTTACGTTGTATTTTCTACTTTGAAATTTTGTCATCGTCATAATGTTTGAATTTCACATACACAGGGTTGATTTAATTCTGTTACAACTTTAATTAAATTTTACATATATTTAAACGATAAAATTCGTTTAAAACATCTAATCACCGGTCCAGTTACCTTCATACAAGCTAACTATAAATCACTCGTATAATAGGCTCGATAAAGATTGATCAAACTCAGAAGGATCTTTCAAGTGTCCGTCAATTGAGGACAGTACTGGCCGGCTAGATGTCCATTCATTGGCCATAAAGCATTGCACAATAGCTGGCATGCCAATGTAACACAATACGCGCATCTGATTTATTAAGGAGCGAAGTACTTATTCATCGGTCGTAAGGAGCCCTCTGAATTTATGGAGAAAATGTGCCGTATATCAAAGCCCTGGTTATATAGTGGTGTGCACCCCACTTCCGATTGTTAAATCGGGAGTTTGACCCCTGGTACAAAAACGTATATTGTGTCCAGTATGATAAAACAATCGACGACGCTTTGTGTCTCTCTGTCTAACCGCACTTGGTCAACTCCAAACGTTAATTCAATTGAAGTCTATCCCATACAGGAGCTCCGAGTCCCAGTGGTGGGATGAGCGGCAATATTAATATGGGTACAATATACAATACTTAAAAACGATAGTCGATATGCGTTGTTATCTAACTACAGTAGTCTCGTTTCGACGGGCTTGTTCAATAAACGAGTCGTGGATTCGATCCCACCGGGTCAAATATTTTTCTACCCGTTTTATAATTTTTCTGAAACATGTTGGGCTTTGTCAGGAAGTCTGGATATTAAAAGGGCGGTAGGAATATCGAAATTCTGGTCGGGTCTCAAATTACCGTCCACAGGAGAAAAAGTCATGAATGCATTCCTGTTTCACTAAAGGCAAAATAGGTCGACAACCTATCTCCATGTTATATGACTGAGGTATATCATC